CATTTTAGGCATGTTGACCATTGTCAAAAGGCAACAAAATTTCTTTTTTTTTCCCCAAAAAATCAGGTGAAAATTAATGCGCGCTGATGTCATCCATAAAAATTATTTGCTGTGGCCTTACCTGTGATAGTGTGGGCTTTTCCCTGTCATGCAAATATTGGGATAGCCTTCAAATTGGCACACAATGATGCTTAGTTTGTGGATGAACTGGGCACAGATCAACTTTATGTTGAAGTATATATGTTGAGGGCCTGCGTGACTTTTTCCATGAAACATAGAGAGCCATTTTAAAGGAATTTTAGGTGATTTTTTCAAAGTCAGTTTTCTAGTCAATCTATTAATGTTATAAGTTAAAATGTAAATCAACAATAGACGATATTTTTTCCGACATAACATTTGGAAACTACAGACATGTGTTAACCTTATATATGCCAGTACAAACTTATATGAGACGTTCTGCCGAAATGCTACACACAATACATTACGGGTTTTGGCAAGGTGCAGTACATGTACATGTGCGTTCTGCCGACATGCTGATTCAAGGTCTGCATACTAGTATTGCCAGGCACCCTATGAATAGAAAAGATCATTCCAAAGAAGTTGCTTCCAAAACTTGATTCACCGTTAAGCATTGCCGGTCTGCCTGAATTATCGCCTCTCTCCTAAATCTACCACTACACTACCAAAAATGTTTTTTTTTTCTCATTTTTCTTATTTTTCTTATGTTGAGAAATATTTTCTTGCCAGGGGGATTTTCAAGAAAATTCAAGAAACATTCTTCAAAGATGTTGTATGTTGATTCTCACAGAAAGAATTTTATTCTTTTTTTTTTCTTAAGAAAAGAAAATATTTCTACTATCATGCTCACCAACAAGAATCCTAAGAATTTTTAGAATTTCAAGAAAGTTTACAGTATTTTTTTTTCTTTTCTTTTGTACAGAATGGTTTTCTTGCTTCAAGAACAGTTACATGTAGCTCTTAGTTCAAGAAATATTTTCTTGTGGACAGAATCGTTTTCTTGCTGTACTCAAGAAACACGTGTTTCTTGAATTTTCTTGCTACGGGGATTCTTTTATTTCTTGTTCAAAGAATAATTTTCTTCCTACAAGATTATTAAACATTTCGTACTGCAAGGAAAACAAGAAAAACAAGAAAAAAGCATTTTTTGTAGTGTAGGCATTGCCCGAATCCCCCCATGCAGACCCTCATCCTACAGTGTAGCAACAACAGTTTAGAGAAGGATATGGGGAATCTCAAAGTCAAGACTGACTAATGGATGTTCAGACCAGGCAGGTGCATTCTCTGGAGGCAACCTGAGAGAGTTTTCATCAATCACATCATTGCACCAGAGGCTTCCCAGTCAAAAACCATTAAGGCCACATGTTACAGGCCGCATACATGCGCTTGTGAACCCGGAAAGTTCAAAGTACTGTAGTGCTTTATGTTTTAGTGAAGTCTCCTAAGACTACACCAATCTACTAGTAATTTGTTGCTTCTCAGATTTTTTTTCAGAAAAAATATGAAGCGACAGTGCGAAAAAAAAAAACAGGCCAAGGGAACCCATGTTAGCCGGAAATGTTACAATATGAGCCATGAAGTGAACATACCAGGCTGGTTTAGAATTAAAACAATAGATTTTCAACTTGTAATGAAACAAAATTGCATTGTTACATTGCAAAAATTAAAGAACCAGGGAGAAAAGGACTTTCTTTAACCGTTGGGGCCAAAATATGTTTTTCAGTGAGCATTTTGCAGTTAATTTAGACTGAAAAAAATTTGTTTTTTTGCACATCAGACAAAAAATGGACAGGGTGGTCCAAAAAGCAACAAATTAAATTGTGTGGCCTAAGTAACATATGTAAATGAACATGTACAATATACACGTTTTTGCAGCACACGATGTAGCGTTACATGTAAAGAAAGGGAGAATTTCAAGAACAAAGAAGTTACAAAGGACTTTAAAAGTCTTCTAAGGCAAGCCAACTCTGATTTCTTAGGCCTACTTTAGACTAGGAACACATAAACTTAGATACAGGGTTTTGGGGTGGAAAAATGGGTTAACGACAGTTTCAAGAGAAAAATCAGTATTTTATGGGGTTTTACGAGGTGGTTTCGTAAAATCCCATAAAATACTGTTCACTCTTCTAGTGTGAAATGATGAGGAAAATGTGCTAAAAAAAATGGCAGTAAATGTCAATACCGGACAGATTTGCTCATCCAGAATGTTTTTGTTTTGTCGCTCTGAGGCCACACCAATTTAATTTCTTGGTTAACAGATTTTCCTAGAAAAATAATGGAGCAGGTGGGCGAAAAAAATAAAAAAATGAAAACAGGCCTAGGCATCCTATTATGGTCCAAATGGTTACGATAGGAGCCATGAAGTCAACACACCAGGCTGGTTCAAAATTTAAACAATGAATTTTGAACTTTTAATGATACCACTGCATTGAAATATGGGATGACTGTAACAAGTAGCAAGAAAATGACTGTTTTCAACTGTTCTGGGCAAAATATGAGCATCTTGCAGTTGATTCTGAATTTTTATTTTTATTTGCAAATCAGAAAAAAATGAAGCGGGCGAATCCGTTAACGAAGAAATTAAATTGGTGTGGCATGAAATTGCATTAACAGGACCCGGGCTTGCTGCGTTAGTGGCTCCAAGAGAACTGTTATATTATTGGCCGATCCTTTGCTTCCTGTTGATACTGTGCAGAATGTAGAGGCCTGTACCTTCTGGAGGAAGGAGGCCCTGTTACTGTATGTCTTGAAATGTTTGTGGCGGTTTTAATTTCATGTTTTTTGCGTTTACCATTTAATCGCAAATTTAACACGTTTCCAATGAAATTACTACAGTACCGCAAATTGGTTTTAACTTGGCGAACCAAAAACTTTGTGAAAAGTGCCTTATCCATTCTTCAAATTAAGTCCTTGCGAAAATAGAACAAATTTACGGTACCAAGAGAGTTTGTTTGTATCGGCCAATGGAGGCAAGCCAGGCCTGTGTCTGTAATTTCCTGTTGACCAATCGTGGAATGTGGAACACACACGCTCCTGCGGATGAAATTTAGTAACGTTATGTTATGGGTAAAACTCTTTTTGTCTCACACGACTGCATGTGACGGCGGAGGAGATCTATTACTAAAAGTTTGGTTGTGATGATTGTAACTGTATGATTTTTTGCCTGATTCTATTTGTACCTGAGACTGATAACAGAAGTCTGTGGCACAAATCAGGAGGGTCTGCATGGGGGGGTCCTGGCGGAACACTTAACGGAAAAGGGCATGCAGGCCCCTAGAGATGAAGCTGCATTACAACTTGTATGCAACATAAGTATAATACAAAAAGTAAATTTTCTTGTCATTTCTTTACAAAGTAAGTTGAATTAACCCTATATACAGCATTGTAAATAAGTACCATTCAGGAAGTGCAGGTGCCTAAATATGATGCCTTACATGTGTGTGTGCCTGTGTTTAAAATCTAAAGTCTAAAATCTTGAAACACAGTTCTCTTGGATGTACATGTACATATATCAGCCTTGTTTGTTTACATTCTGGTAGTTTGTGGTGGCACCACAAACTGAGTGCACCTGATGTGGGCTGGTTTAGTGCCGATCATAAATGTCAGAAATGTGAAATAATTGCACAAATATGTTTAAAGGTGGAAGTAGATTACAGTCACATGAATATTTTTCTTAAATAAAAGTTTTATTTTTGGTGCAAAAACGTATAATGCACCTTTGAACATATAGCTCGAACCCAGGATAATGCTAAGGGACCTAGGGGGAAAAATGCTGTATTTCCTGTTTTATCCGTGAATAGTTTCATCAGGTTGGTAAGAGACATCGAGTAAAGAGACTCTTGTTACACAACCAAGTCTTTTATTCATCCAACATTTCGGTGACCGTCTGTCACCTTCCTCAGAACAATTCTGACTGGTTCACATTGCATTGCAGCACAGGTGTCGCTGCTATAGATGCATTCCCAAATGTACAATATTTACATATCTACACATATTACAGGGATTACAGGGAAATCCTGTTTCAGTTCTGGAAAAATTAGGGTCGGTAGGTAGGGATTATCTTTTTTTTTTTGCTTTGGCAATTTCTAGTGGTCCAACTTATACAATACAGTTTAACAAAGACGTATAGAACTACCATGAGGACACTTCTTTTAATGTCAATGTTGTAAAATTGATTGTACAACATTTCATCACTCAGGCGTCAGATCATGGAGCTAGAAAACATTGATCCGCTCGAAAATTAAATTTACGTCCCTTGCAGGGGTCCACACAAAAAAGTCCAGGGTCGGCAGTTTTTTCTAGGGTCGGTTGGGAAACAGGGAACACAACATTTTTTTCCTGGGCCTGATGTAGGAATGGTACAACATGGGCTCTGTCAACATAACCTGAACATCGCCTTACATGACTCCAAGTCCTGCTTTAGACACAACAAAGTTAACTGCTGATTAGCACACGCTTCACAACACTTTCTCCTGTTCTTTGATGTGTGTTTACACAGACACACTGAGCACGTAACACCAACCCTGGTGTGCCGATACAGGCAGGTCAGGTATCACTTAGGCCACACCAATTTAATTTTTTTTTCTAGAAAAATAAAGGAGCAGGCGGGCGAAAAAAATAAAAATAAAAACAGGCCTAGGCATCCTATTATGGCCCAAAATGGTACGATAGGAGCCATGAAGTCAACACAACAGGCTGGTTCAAAATTTAAACAATGAATTTTGAACTTTTAATGATACCATTGCATTGAAAGATGGAATAACTGTAACAACTAGGATCGAAAGGACTGTTTTCAACTGTTCAGGGCAAAATATGAGTATTTTGCAGTTGATTCTGAATTTTTATTTTTATTTGCAAATCAGAAAAAAAATGAAGCGGGCGAATCCGTTAACCAAGAAATTAAATTGGTGTGGCCTAATAGTAATACATATGTTTGTACTAATTAACAAAACGTTCTAACATGAGACCTTTGTACGTTCCAGCGTGGTTATTCTCATCTACAACTGCAGACGGCAGGTGTTCTACCTTGTCAAACAGTTCCGTCCAGGTGGGTAGTTTGATCCCTACTGTAGGTCCTGGGGTTTCTGTGTTCTGAAGTGCATGGTTCAGTGAACAGGGCAGCTGAGGATGGGGCTTCTACTGATCTGAAGTTGATCCAACATACAATTTAATTTGTTGTTTCTTGGATTTTTCAGGAAAAATATAAAGCTACAGGGCGAAAAAATTTAATATACAAAAAAAAGGCCTAGGCATCCTCTGATATCCCCAAAGCTACAGTAAGATAGGAGCCATGATGCCAACATACCAGGCTGGTTCGTAATTTGAATTTTGAACTTTTTGTTAAACCAATGCATTGATATGTGGAAAAGCTGCAACAAGGAAGACAAGGTCAGCTTTCTTCAACTGTTTTGGCCAAAATATGACCTTTTTGGAGTTGATTCAGAACCTTTTTTTTGCAAATCAGAAAAAAATAAAGCGGGCGAATCCGAGAACCAACTAAGTACATTGGTGTGGCCTAAAACTTAAAATGTTAGTAGCGGTATTCTAGCTAGCCAGAAGTCTTTCCCGTCATCTCACTCTCAGTTTTGTTTGACATGACTTAACCGAAAACAGAAAAAAACTCCTTTCTCCCTCTTTCACAAAGTAAAAAAAAACAGAAAATTTTTTTAACAGTACTTCATATTTGGTTGGTCTAAGCCTGGGGCCACCTGGCAGCCACCCATCTTTCATCTATGGCGTGCTCTGTTGTTTTGTATACAGTACTGACTATCATGCAGTCTTTGATTTGAAAGTATTCATGGCAACACGCCATCACATACAAAAACCATTACATCATACTTTTTGACTCCAAGGTAGTCTTTATCAAAGCTGCATTGTATAACGATAGGATTGTACAAAAAGTCAGCTTTCTGGTCATTTGATGATCTGGTCATTTCTCTTTAAGTACAGTTGACCATCTCTTCAAGCCGACCACTTGACCATGGCGACCGCTTTTTCTCTGTCCTGAAAATCTTCTCCATTATTATTACCTCCTTGAAAAATGGAGGTATTGTTTTTGGCGCGTCTGTGTGTGTGTGTGTGTCTGTCTGTCTGTGTGTGTGTGTGTGTGTGTGTGTGTGTGTGTCTGTCTGTCTGTGTGTGTGTGTGTGTGTGTGTGTGTGTGTGTTCTGTCTGTGTGTGTGTGTGTGTGTGTGTGTGTGTGTGTCTGTCTGTCTGTGTGTGTGTGTGTGTCTGTCTGTCTGTGTGTGTCTGTCTGTCTGTGTGTGTGTGTCTGTCTGTGTGTGTGTGTGTGTCTGTCTGTCTGTGTGTGTGTGTGTGTGTGTGTGTGTCTGTCTGTCTGTGTGTGTGTGTCTGTCTGTCTGTCTGTGTGTGTGTGTGTGTGTGTGTGTGTCTGTCTGTCTGTGTGTGTGTGTGTGTGTGTGTGTGTGTACAGTGTTAATGGATATTGCTAGTATCAGTTAACTAAAGGCTGTTAGAAATATTGTCAAAGGCTTATGTATGCAACATTACTTAATTTGAGGAAAGTAGTAACTTATAGGTGGGGCAACCTAAAATTGTGATGGGCAACCTAATTTTTGCCGTAGGTTGGCCACTGGGCAACCTGGTTCAAAAAAGTATTTTGTACACTGTGTGGGCAAATGGACTTGTCCACCCCTGTTTTGCAAAGGACACAGCCCTACACGTGTTAGGACGTGTTCTGACATGGTGTTTGTGAACACCTCTCCCCCGGGACACTTGGCCTTGGCTGTGCTCAGGATTGTGTACTTGAATCGGTGTGAGAAATGAGGAGAAATGTGGGTCCGCGGGAAGTCTGGCTTATATTTTCGCACAGACTTGTTATCTGACATGTTCCAGCTCTAATGGAGTCACTCAGCCTCGCTCTCTACTCTCTGATCCGTGGCAGCTGCAGTGATTGTTAGATTGGGCCGTTTTATTAGCCGCTCAGGTGCTTTATTTCTAGTTAAGGCCACACGGACTTAATTTTATGGATGACATCCTCTGAAGACCCCCAAACTAGTGCGCGCGGGCGAATAAAATAAAAATCCGGCCAAAAATAAAAATGCTACTAAACCACAAGAATACAAAGGCAAAGCTGGTATTGTGAATTTGCGGCAGTACATAGCGACGTTTACGGCAAGCCGGCACATGCTTGGCTTTTTGCGGATTTATGAATCGACACTGTACGCATATACTGTCAGGTCTTGAGTCGTGGAGCTTTGGTAGCCTGGGTGGCATCCTCCAGAGTTACCACCGGCTCCGTACTGTCACTATATAGCAATTTACCATGGACTATCCAGGCCAGAGCCTCGGATGACGTGATCTTTGCGTTTTAAGACAAATTCCGGGTAGCTACAACGCATTACGTAAAATCAAAACGGTGAATTACACTCTACGCAAAATGTGCCAATTATGCTCAACGTTGAATTAGAGCAGTCTGCCTACGCTCCATGTAGAATTAAAACGGCTGATTACGCTCTACGGAAAAGGGCATGCAGTGACGCTTGGATCACGTAGCCTGACTTTCTCAACCTATCCTGAAGTTGTGAGCCATTTTGCGAAATTCGACATGTCTGATTGTGAAGTACAGTACATGTACAAATGTACAGTAGTAGGCCTTGCAGGACACACATGTAACATACATTTATGTCCTACCTGGCCGCGATTACGTTCAATACGGGTGTTCCGGCTCGTGTGATAACTAGCGGTACGGCCCGGGGGTTCTTAACGCGTACGGCCCGGGGCTTCCAAATGTTCCATAGAACGATTCGAACACGTTTCGCCCTAACCGTTTGCACCGCTTTCGAAAATTCGAATATACAAATTCGGACGTTAGGATTGATGTAGCATTTTTTGGGTTTAGGGACACCAAATTTTCCCTCATTTCGCATTGAAAGGCATGTTTTCTTGGGTGGCTATGACATAAATAAAATACAACACGGTCCCAGCCCTCCGGCGGATCGGATCACACTTCGGCCGTCGGGCGATCTGACGCGCGGTCGGGCTGGTACCTCGGGTGATACGGAATGCACCGTGTTGTATTCTATATGTACATCACAATGTAACTCATTAAAATGGAGATGGGAGATTTGACTACAGCAAAAATATTCCCATATACCTTGTAGTAGCCTTCTAAGAAGAAGATAGAAAATAGTTGAGATTTTTATATTAGGCCACACCAATTTAATTTGTTGGTTCTTGGATTCGCCTCTTCGTTTTTTTCTGATTTGCAAAAAAAAAAAATTTATTCTGGTCCTGAATCAACTGAAAAATGCTCATGTTTTGCCCCCAACAGTTGAGGAAAGTCCTTTTCTTGCTAATTGTTACAGTTTTCCCATCTATCATTGCAGTGGTATCATTAAAAGTTCAAAATTCAATTGTTTAAATTTTAACCCAGTCCTTTTTGTGTTGACTTCATTGGCTCATTTCATAGCTATTT